GGTGAGTCAGGGCCTCTAGCAAAAGTCTGTGAAATGGGCCAAATATCTAAATTTGACAAAGATATTAACGATACGCATTCCTGATGGCTCCAAAGTTTCTTTTCTAAGCAATAATACACTTTTTTTTAAAAAATCAGGGAGAAGATGCATATCTGTGCTTCTATGAAAACCTGAAGGAAGGGCATTTCCCAGAGCATAACATCAGTTGTAAATGATAATACTTATATGGAATACACAAGGCATGAAATCATGCTTACTAAAAAAGCTTAGTAGTGACGTGTGTATGAATTAGTATCAACAACAAAAACCAGAACAGTTAGCTGTACAGTCAGCCTTACAGAAGAACAAAGAGGCACATACAATCGGAAAGATCACGCCACAGGTCGGCAGCCTCTGTAGCCTGCCGAGATGTGGAGAATCTAGACGGTAACATCTCTGTGTTTTCCTTAGTGCAAAAATGTCTTTCATTCTACCCCTGAAAATTGTACAAAGCAAAATTATGTTTTCTCCCCTAAATGTTCATGAAGAAAACTAGACAGTGAAGGATCCCAGGACCCTTCTTCTTATGCTCCCAAGGAGTGGTACATCACTGAAGTCTTTTGATGTCACTAAATGTAATCTTGGGTCTCTGAATAGAGAAAGTGGCAGGCTAACCATGTCACCTGAGCAGCCAAAGCATTCTACCTTCACCTGCTGCAACGAGACACTAATCACCAGCTCCCACTTTCCTCCTAGCCACAGGCTAGCCTTTCCTCCTAGCCTCCAGAAAATTCTGCCACCCTTGAAGGCTTCTGGAAGCGACCCTGATGTTTGCTCTGTCTGTGAAAGTATCCAGGCAGAGTCTGTGGCTTTGGGCTTTCCTCCTGAAGCTGGATTTCGAGAAATACGTAGAGGACAAAGGGTAGCATCGGAAAGCATGGCAGTTCATCACAAAGGGAGACAAAGACCTGAGTCACGAGCCTGGCATCTGCCACTTACTGTGTGCCTGCTATGATGAGAAAGATGGGGTCACACAGAGCCACCAAACAGCTGAGCACTTAAGTGCAAGGTATGTGCAGACATATAGCATAAGAGGTGGCCTCTGGGGTGATCTGATGGTGTTCCCCAGCAGGGCAGGAAGCAGTGTCCTTCATCCTACCATAGCTGATGTCCCCATAGCAACTGGACCAGATTGGCCACAGTAGTTTCACTCCATACACTGTCAAGACCATCTCTACACATTTCTGTTGCTGAGACTACACATTTCAGAGACTCCCGTGGCTCTCCGCAGAGGCTCATGAACACTGGTAGCTACATCAGTGCCTCTCAGCTGCAGGAAACTCACATAAGTAACACTGTCCTTAAGGCATTAGGAATAGTTGCTTTTCAAATTTTATTTTATTTTCTATGTATCCTTTTCTAAGAAACACTGGTGAGTGTGTGTGTGTGTGTGTGTGCATGCCCGCACGCGTGCACACTTGGGAATGTTTTTAAAAATCAAGATCTGTTCTTCAGAAGGAAAAATAATAATGAATTTAAAGGAGATACCGATAATGAAAAAAGTCATTTTGTTCTAGAACATTTCTAGAGTGTGGGCATCCTGCTGTGCATTAAATGACACCTAGAGATTCATCCATTTTGGATTCTGCTTGCCAGGGCCACGAGTCAGGGTGCCTGGTGGGCATAGGTGCTTGCGCACACACATATGATGCACACACACACACAGAGAGAGAGAGAAAGAGAGAGAGAGAGAGAGAGAGAGAGAGAGAGAGAGAGAGAGAGATTCATCAATGTGCAGATATAAGTGTGCTGTATCATAGAGGACAGCTTAGATCTCAGAGTGGCCCTAAGTGCACACAGAAAGTCGCTGTGAGAAGCTGTCCTTTCAATGCACTTGGGCTAGAGCAGAAGGGAGGGAGCTGCTCTGTGCTCTGGGATGTGGTGGCAGTTACCGAGCAGAACAATAACATTCGGCACCTGGAGTTTCTTCCAGTGTCACAGACCCCCCCCCCCTCAAAGCAGCAAGAAGGAGGCCATGCCTATTCCCCTGGTGCCAGTAGGTAGACGGGAAACCAGCTGCAGCAGGCACAGCTATAGTTAAGCACTGTAACCACATCCATTAAAAGCCCATGCAGAGATTACCTTTCCCTCATCATCCTCAGTTCAGAGGCCTGTGGGCCTCCTCAGGAACTTTCCAACTGTCCAGAGCCGGCTTGCCTAGGGTCTCCTTAGGAAATTTCCACATCCTGTCTGATTCCTGAACTCCTTCCATGTCCCTCTATGTATACACACACACACACACACATACACACACACACACACCACAAACCTACAGACACATATTCACACCAATCCATACACACATGTGCAAACGCACAGACCTACAGCTACACACATACACTTGCACCCACAAGCGTGCATACAAGATTCAACTTTAGAATTAAGGCTTGCAGCCGAGGCTTCGCAGCCTCCTTAAACTGTTTAGGATAAGACTGCTTCTATCATAAGCCTATTCAGTCCCCCCCGCCCAGTGTTTTTAAAAGCAGGATGCAATGTACAGATCTAGGATTCCTTACCCAAAAAAGGCAAACAGCATTACAAACAAAAATCTTTGGAGGGCTGAATCAAACACCTAACTCATGTACACAGGGTTACATGGAGAGCAACAGACTCCAGGGTTAAGTATCTCTCAGCACTATACTATGAAGCTCTCAGGGCCATCTTCCAACTGTTCTCAGATAGATGTTGGCTTGGCTGCTATCTTGGTTTAATTAGAACCCCCAGTCTTATCCTGAAGCCCATGAGTGCACAGAGAAAAATACCATCTTCTAAAATATCTTTACCTCTCCCGAATGAAACACCATGTTCTCTACCTCAAATTGCCAACACCAGGCAAGAATACCAGAAAAGTGCCTCATAGGGTTTTAGGCAAGAGTGGCTAAACGAAAAGAATCCCACACTGAGGTGGCGTGCCAGCTTCACCAACTCAGAGTGCCTGCAAATCAAAGGACTCATTGATTTATTTACTGAAACACCCAAAACTTCAAGTGTATTTAATCCAGAAATTCTCCCCACCCCTATAGGGATCGTCTCATAACTTCAGGGGACACTACCCTGTGCTAATTTGAGGGTTGTCCCAGAGTAATTAAAATTGCAGCCAACAGACTCAAGGCCTCTTTTCCCATTTCACAAACAAAGCCATAAAATCATCTTACTACTTTATCCAGGAAAGCTCACAGAAAGCTGATCTTGAAGTAAGTCACCACTCAAAAGAGACTGCTTTAACAAGGGACATGAAGAATTCATTGGAAATTATTTCTATTGTAGGGAGATACACATGACACACATGTGACACAGAATTCACCCATACAGAGTCCTAAAAAGAGCAAGTAATTGTCCCCAAACGTATTCAAAAGATAAAAATGCATTCTGACTTCAAAGGTGACTTCTTCACACAGATGGGTCTTAAATGAAATAGTGTAACACATTGTAACACATTGGAGAGTTGTCCAAATGCATTTGACCATCAACAGGACCAGCTCTTCTTTCCAGGCCCTTTAAAGCATTGATTTGGGGAGTGTGGGATGAACACCCATAAGCTTACATGCATAACACTCAAACTATCCAAGATTTACACAGAATATTTGATCTAATTGTTTTGGAATATGGATAGAATTAAGGGTCTAGAGCAGAACCCAAAAAGCAACATTTGGGGTTATAAAAATAAGTTGTTTCTACTCATTTATCAGAAAGTAGAGTCTAACAGACACAATGTTAAAATTCCCCTCTAGGTCACCATATTGCAGCTGGCCCTAATCCTTGGAGCCAGAGAAAGTAAACTTTCAGACGGCAGCCTTTGGTGTGAGCCTTACCAGATTACAGGATGCAGCCTGAGAACTGAAAGTTGGACGCAACTCTGAAACACAGTTTACATGATACATACAATCAGCTTGTGAAGGTTCTCTAACGCCTCATCTCCATTATGGGCAAACCCCATAATGAATCTCATGAGTTTTCAAGTCAAGTGGAACCTTACTGGACAGATATAGGTCAGTCGCCATCTCAGCTCCACAAAACTAAAGACACAACGAATAAACACACTCTTTGGCTTCCTTTGTCTATACAGACTGCTGGTTTTCCTCATTCCTACAGATGTCACCAAACCCCAGTGGCCTCAAATGAAGTTTAATAGACCCACTACCTCCTCAGACAACCACTTCCACACTCTTCTATATCAGCATCAGCTGTTTGTAGTGACCAGCCTGCGTTTAGTTTTCAGCCCGTGACCGTGCGGCTTTGTCTCCTCGCTAAACTTTACCATCTTTCTCTAGAAACATTTACAAGAAAACACACAGACCCACACGCAGCAGTCCCCACGAACCACACAGCACTAGGAAGAAAGCTTGCAGTGCACAGAAAGACAGGTGTTTTATTTGTAATAGACACATAAACCAACACACTCAATTACCACCATTTGAGTTTTGAGACGCCCGAGTCCTCTCGGCATGGAGATCCCCACAATTCAAGTCAACATTTGTCCATCCTGTTACCAACAGCCACCAAGTGTCTCCTCACTTCCATGGGGACGTGCTGGCACACCTGCTGGTGAGGAGTCCCCGATGCGCATCCAAATGTTCACCATTGACAAGACCATCTCTTTGAGCCTGCCCTCCGACCTCTGTGATCATTGCCTGGTTATCAAACCCACATCCAGACACCGTTAGAAACAGGTAAAGAAGCTGAAAATTCAGAAGTGTTCCAAAAAGCGTTCACAAAAGTAATCCACGGCGCTCGACAGTGAATTTAGAAACCCCAATTTTTTTCTGAGTTTGAAGTTTTTAAGCCTTGCGGACGGTCTGAGTAGGAAAAAGGAAATTTACTAGGCAGCGCAAAGGAAATCTTGTTGTCCTCTATTGTGGTAGGGGGGGGTGTTGCCCAACCCTAACTTATCTGCCTTGATAAAGGAAACCCAGCGCAAGAAGAACAAGATTTTGTCAAATGTAGAGGAACCCTCTCCTTACCTTAATAGTGCTGGCCATAATGCAATCAAGTTTATTGATCGTCAATAAATGTTAATAATAATTATTGCTTCTCTCTGACCAGAAAGTAGTTTTGATGAGGTTGTTTAGAGCGGATGAGATTGTGCTAAGTCTGGGAAATGAAGTCAGCCAATGGCAGGAAGAGGTTTCTATTGGTCCTGGCTGCCCAGCCCAAAGAAACAGGATATTTGGGAGTGGAGAGATAAGAGACCCTGAAAACAATGTTGTTTTTCTTGATGATATGCAGCCAGGAGAAGTTTTTTAATTAAAAAAAAAAAGGCATCAATTGGCTGAGGCCGGGGCTGTCACAGCAGGTGTGACCTGTGTAACTCTGGGTGACAGGCTGCATCAGACCAAAGCAGGATACAGATGTGATGGGGCTATGCCTGACTGCACATGGGAGGTGCCTGGGTGCCCGTGCTTTACAGTGCCCCCTCCCCAGGAATGCCACCCAGCTAGGACAGAGTGCTGAAGCTAACTAGGACCTAGTTCATATGGCAGCATGGTCACGTCTATTAAGGACAATTTACTGGCCAGCTACCAATAAGCCTCCATTTACAAAGTCTTCATAGAATGTTCGAGAGCTACTTCAGGAATTCTCTTTCAAAACATGTGAAATCATTTTTTGCTCCCCAGGAAATTGGTTGAAAATACAGATACTGGAATCAAGGTAACCAAGAAAACTAAAGAAAAAGAAAAATCAGACCAAGATCTTGTTTTCAATCACTTATTAAAGGAGCTGGAGAGATGGCTCCATTGTTAAAGTGTCAACTAAGCAAGCATGACTCCCTGAGTACCATCCCCAGAACCCACAGACAAAAAGCTGGGTGTCATGCATATACCTTCAATTCTAAACCTGGTGAGTCAGAGACAAGCAGATCCCTGGACCTCATTGGCTGGTCAGCTTATGCTAATCAGCGTCTGAGGAATAACATCCAGGGTTGACTGATGGCCTTCACATGCATGTTCACCTGAACAAGCATATATGTGCCTACTGGCATACATATACATACCACATATGCTTATACATATTCACGAGTGTGGGCATACACACACACACACACCCTGAATAACTAGTTTCTATATTCTAGAACATATATCCCTCTGGTGGACACCCATGCTGTGGACCATGGATCCCAATAGAACTCTGAGCTAAGAGGCCAGGAGAAGTTCTCATACATGCATAAAAGCTAAGCTGCAGGTTCAGGGCCATAGCTCTGCCTTCCCCTGAAGGAAGCTGAACTGACACAGGCCTGAACATTCCTTAACAGGATTTCAGGCCTTTAATTACTCATTTTCAGGAAATTACTTGGTCTGTGGAAGAAACAACAGTTTGCTTTGAATTGAACCACATGAAAGTTGACCAGTCACTTGGTCTCATGGGGACCCAAGAAGCACAATGGACCAGAGCCTGAGTCATGGACAATTCTTGGTTACTGCCTAGACAGGCAGTGAACTAAATTCATTCAGACTTTGGGCTAGCTCTGCCGAGATTCCACACACCAGCTCCTTTCTCTTGTTTGCCCCGGTCCACTTCCATCCCTTATGTTACAATAGCAAAAGAAGAGAAAGACAGGTAAAGCAGGTGGAAGGAGCTGGGGTGGATCCTGGTGCCCCCCGCCCTTGCCTAGCATGGTCAGGGGCTGTGGATTCAAATCCCAGCAGTTCAAAAAGAGAGGAGAGAAAAGAAAAAAGGGGAAGGGGGAGGAGGAGGAGGAGGAGGAGGAGGAGAAGGGGGGGACCAGAAGAGGGATGTTAAAAGGCAAGAAAGAAAAATACATAAGAACACTAATTCCCAGTAAAAGCTTTGGAGACTGGTGCTTATGCTTTGAGAGAATGTTGACTCCAGGCTCTTTTTATCTCTGAACAATGAACAAGATGTCAGGCTGATTAAAACTATGTTTCCACTAAAATTTTCTAAGTTCTGAGTTGTTTATCCCGGCAGTTTCCTACAAGTGCTGAAAAAAAAAAAAAAAAGTAACGAAAGTCCCGAGCACCGAGCACCACACTAAGAGTAGATCCGTCTGAAATGTTCACCGCTGTCCTTCAGTAACAGGATCCACTGTGTAGATTTACCAAGTGTGGGCTTTTAAAAGGCTTACTTCTTTGCAATAAAATAGCCATGGCCCTACCAGGACTCTGACTGTGTCCTATAGCCGGGGTAGCACCCTCTTTATGGAGGTTTAAAGCCCCCCATGATCTGCCCAGGATACCATAATGCCTGTCTAGGCCAAATCCAATTTTCAGGACAGTTATAAAACAGGGAGACCCCCCTACACACTTCAGCGTTCTGGCATCTCCACCATGTGCCCAGCCCTCCAATATTTATATACAATCCTTTACGATTGGATAAAATATTATTTTATAAGAGACTAGATTCTTTGCTTGAGTAATTATAAAAAGAAACCAGACACTATAATTATTTGATCTAATTTCTAAAGATTCTACCTGTACCTCTCATTGTGCCTAATTTTGATCTGGAACAAAAGTCTGAACCATGATCAGATAGCATAGTAACTTGAGGATCAGAGTTATAGAACTTACAATGGGACTCTAAAACAGCAACTTCCCTGTTTAAAAATCCCTGATTTCTGATAACAAAATGCTTAGCAGACTTTTTACCTTTAAACAGAGTAATTTCTGGTGCCATGAGAACAGCACTCAAGTTGGGCCACCCCAGATGATTGAATGCAAGGGCTCTTCCCATAAACGTCAACTGACTATTGGTAGCATAAAGCATGCCTATGAATTACAACACCCTATACCACTTCCCAGACCTTACGCTGGGGAGTTGAGATAGGGGAGCTCACTTCACTGTCCCTGACCCTAAGTCTGTGCTCCTAAGTGGCTTTGGCACCCAGTCACCCAGCACCTGAGAACTAGCTTCCCCCCAAATGTTACTTTAAGAGAGTCTCTCACTGAACAGATCTAGTTAGGGAACAATCTGGCAGCTACTGGGGGTTGTCCAGTATGTTTGGCAGGGCTAGGTCATTTCTTACCCTGCTTAAAATACAGGAAGACTCCACTGGGGCAGCAGGCCCCACAGGGCCATGTACAGCATTAATGCTGGAGGAACATATAGTCTGTTGTCCAGTTCTCCACTTTGTGAGTTCATCACTCACAAACCCAACTCCCTTTGATGAATCTGCATAGCTCGCTCCAAAGCAAATAGGAAATGGTGTAAAATATAAAATGGCACAAATGGACCATGATAACAAATACACACTATCATTCGCTTGTCCCCAAGTCATGTCTGATTCTCTGAGGGTAGCACCCTCATTTTCTCATTAACTATGCAGAGTATGTGGGTCAGTGCATCACAGAAAACCTTGGCCAAGGTCAGTAGAGCTCTGCAAATGAAACAGGACGATAGCACAAAGAATAATGGAGCACCCTGTAACAGGCACAACAGCATAGTCATATAGCTTCCATATTAATTATCCCTGTATCAGGCATCTATAAAGTGGATTATCCATCATCATCAAAAAAAAATGGTAGAAATGGGATAGGGGAGATGGCTTGGTACAGCACCCTGTGTTCAAGCATGAGGTCCCGAGTTCTGATCCACATAAGGACCCAGGCATGCCCATGCCAACCTGTAAATCCAGCACTGAGGATTTCCTATAGCTCACAGAAAAACCGTTGAGTTCCAGGTTCATTGAGAGACTCCATTTCAAGGGAATGATAAGAGCAACTGAGAAGGAGACCGCCATATATGCGCATGTATGCATGCGAGCACACACAAATACTGTAGGAAAATTATGTGGCATATGAATACTTACTGATACGGAAGACGGCTGCCTGGGAAGCTAAAAATCACCATGTAAAATTTTCGCAGACGTGTTTTGCTTTAAAGGAGAAGATAAAAACAGAGATAGTGGCAACCGACACGTCACAATGCTAATGCAGAGAATCTTCGCTTTGTTTATATTTTCAAGACACTTGCAATAGGCATGTTACACTTTTCTATTAACATGGGTAAGTAATATGCAACTTACTGTTTTGAAAATACCTAGAAACGTAGCTAGACATGCAACACATGCTTCTGGTTGCCAGACTCTGTGCACTCAATAATCTAGTCCTGCCGGGGCTGGAGAGATGGCTCAGTGGTTGAAAGCACTTGCTGTTCTTGCAGAAAATCTGAATTTGGTTCCAAGCACCTATGTCAGGTGGCTTGCAACTGCATCTAACTCCAGGTCAAGGGATTTGACATCATCTGGCCTCCTGGGGCACCTGCACACACCTTTCTCTCTCTCTCTCTCTCTCTGTCTCTCTCTCTCTCTCCCTGTCTCTCTCTCTGTTTCTCTCTGTCTCTCTCTATCTCTCTCTCTCTCTCCCCCTCCCTCCCTCCCTCTCTATCTCACACACACACACACACACACACACACACACGAGTATGTATTTTTAAATGTCTACACAAACACAAAAATCATTCTTTTATAGAAATCTAATTCTAGTAAAAAAAAAATGTGCAGAAGACACTCTTATGGTGTTCATGGGTTGGACGGTTCATCCTGCCAGTATTAATAACACGTATTTCTCACACCATGAATTCCAGTTGGTACTGACAAAGTCAGGATGACTGACCCACCACTTATTTTAGCATTCAGGAAGTCCATGTCAAGCTAGTCAAATCACACACACACACACACACACACACACACACACACACCTGCAAGACCTGGAACTCACCCATGAAAGGAATAGAGGCTTTTTAAGGCCAAAAGAAATGTTGTACATTGTTCCTTGGATGCCACGGGAATCTTAAGTGCATACTGTTTGGATTATTCACAAGAACCCTGTAAGAAGGATGTCCCAAGAATGTTTGCCAGGGACGTGCCTGAGATTAGAGATAAGAATCAGCCATCTGGAACTGTCCCCACAATGGAAAACTCCACCACGCTGTGGAACTTTCCCATCTACATCACAGAGAAGGTTCGCTTGAGAACAGGGCAGGGTGTTAAGATGCTGTCAGCTTCCAGGTCTCCCATTCATCACTGGCTAAAGACTCTTTCTATTTATAGTGTGCACCATACTTAGGTTTTACCCTGCCAGGCAAAACTCTGTGTGAGTATATCTGAATGTGTGTGTGTGTGTGTGT